GTTACATATTTGTTATTTTAAAATACTTATTTAGCCAATGAAATACAAAATGCAGACTTCATTATGTTTTTTCTAATTATCATGTTTTACTTTATCGTTTTTCATTCACTATATTTTAAGTGCGTATACACTTATATAACTGTTTTCTGCTTTCTTGCTATCAAATATTTTTAATTAGCTTTAAAGTTATTCTGATGTTTAATGCATAATTCGTATGAGTTTGATTTTCTCCTTTTCTTAAAAACATCAATTGAACAGGTTCAGGTCATTTACATAAGTTTGCATTCACCATACAATCATCATATGAGAATGGTATAGAAGGAGATACTGAAAGCATCCTCGGCGTACATTTTATACAATGTATTCAGGAATGTCTACATGTATTTGTTCATTCCCAAACTTAATTCATCACAAGTCATACGGATGAATATATTTCTAAAGAAAGAGACTATTCATTAAATTGTTTTGGCGACACGTTGTCCGCTGTATGAACATGGTAATCTAGTCAATATCCGAATTGTGTTCTCGGAAAATTGCCTTAAAACTGACAAGTATTTTAAACTACATTGGAAGATTACAACAATGATAAGATGACAAGACTCTAAGCTTGATATACGAGACTTGTTTTAAAAGGAAACCAGATATGAGATTTGTTTGATATAAAGTATATATGAACTAAATTTGCGTAAACTAGCTCCCGTTTTTTTTTGTTTTTTTGTTGTTGTTTTTTTGCCAAACGAGCTTTTTTTGGGCAAAAGGGACACATATTTTTACCTTTTAATATTATCTAAAAGGTTTCCATGTGTTTCAACGTAAATATATATCATTCTTCTGTCATATTCTGTTTTGTGTGTGTAAAAATGTGTTTAATATGTGACATAATAATTTGGACTTAACCATGAAATTTCAGTATATTGCAATGATAAAAAAAGCTGTGTTTGTGATGGAAAATTGGTCTTGACACTTTTTGATTTCAAATTAAAACCAGATATAAGAATTGTTACTTAAATATATAAAAAGGACATTTGCCATACTTTATTCAAATAATGGGATTATATTCAAAACTGTTTCCAACAGTTTATGATAATTGATAAATCCCTCCGCTGACCTTTTATTTTAGTGACAATATATTAAACCACAAACATTGACATGTGCTCTTTTGTTAACAAATATGTTCTTGTGAAATTCTTATTGTATCCACTAATCTGATAATTAGAATTAGACAGGCCAGGGAGTTATGCCTTATTGTAACGTTAGCATTGTTATTGAATCTTATTCTCATACATCCCAAGTGCATGCATATGTATATATTCAATATGCATATATTCAATTGTTTAAATATAAGTGACTGCATGCAATATAGATGGTGTCAACATTGTTTTATACTAATGTATAATACTATATAGAGATTCGCTAGTAACGTGTTTTCGTTACAGCGTGAGCTTGTCTGAATTTGAAAGTATGTACAAGTAAATTCAAATAGCTGATTTCGTGCCCTGCAAGGTCGATATTTACGAAGTTAAGCTAGACTTTTGAGTAGCATTTTATAAATCAATAGCAAACTCTTTTATATCAATTCGAATAATTTCTTGCCGAGGTTCAAGCAGATAATATATGATTCTTTGATTAACTTATGTGAAGGAAAAATTGGCCTTCACGATCAATATATCAATCACAGAGCTAAACGAATATAGGATTTGAACTTGATTCTAAGTTACCCTTTAATTGTTGACTTGCCCCTATTGTTTTTCCATACTTGTAAATAATGAATCGTTGCCAACTACGAAATAATCAAGTTTTTTTTTATTTACTGATGTCACCAGTATAAGATGTTAAATACTGAATTAAACAATTTTTATGACAAAATGTACATTATTTTTGGGCATAGCTGACAAATAACCCAGTGTAAAATCAAGTGTTTGTTGATACACGTTTCAGTTGTAAGGAAATAAAAGAATTTAGATTTTTGCTTTGCTATACTTCTCATTCTCAATAAGTGAATAATGTATGCTTTGTTTCATTTTTAGGCTAAAAACAAGATTATTATGCTAAAAGTGAAGAAAGATGTGAATTCAAGAGACCCATTTAGAACAATTAGCGAAGAGCCATTAAAACAAAAGAATAATCCAGTTCTTCAAAGCGAGGTTTGTTCTTAGATAGCTCTTATTCAGGAATTTATATGATAATATTATTTGTTATATCACACAATCGGAAACAAATCCTTACAAAATTGTTCGCTTAAGGCGTCGCTTCTCATAGTTTAGTACAATTTTTGTTTGGCATCACCAGACAATCTTTTATATGTTTTCCTATAGAAAGCAGAAATGCCGAAGAGTAGGTTAAGTATGAATGTAAATATGTTAAAATTGATGTTGATATATGCTTTTACATAAAAGATACACCAATTAGCCGTTTATGTACAAACATAAAGAATGAAGAGGGAAACTAAGAATGATTTCCCAAAAGCAACATTCAAGAACAATTGCTCAATAGATGCAAGTACCAATCGTCTATGAAACGATTGATGTAAGGTCAATTAAATATAAAATGTCTGCAATTATACAAATACACTTCTTGATAAAAAAATGTTGGTTTTACTTTACTTCACTTTAATAGAAATAGATATGTACCAGTTTTTTATTCATTTGGAACAGAATAAACGAATGACTTTAATAACTCTCCAGTGTTTGGTGAGGACTATTCACATGTATTTTTTGAGTTTTCGGGTATAGTACGAATGGCAAATAACTTGTCACTTTACACACCATTGCCAAGATCTAATAACGTAAAACTCTTAGTTGTTCAAAGAATAAAATATAGAGCTGAAACGATCTACTTTGCTCATCTTTAATGAGGGGATGTATAAATTATGTTTTTGGAAGCTGCATTACCTATTACCGGACAAGTTAATTATGTCCCTCTTTAAAAGACTTCTAGTTTTTTAAATGACGTTGTATTTCACTATACTGTGTAAACGTAAAACATATTACATTTTACCTATTAAAAAGAGTCTTTATAGCAACTAGCAGATTGAGCATTTTAAAATATAAAATTTGAGAATAGTAATTCTTTAAACATATGTGCCTTTTAAGTTATTTTACCCTACTGATTTATTTATTGATGCATTCTGTCATTTTTCTTTTTTTCATATTTCTATGGTTCAAGTTTATTAAGCCTATTTAGTTTTGTCATCGGGGATTCAATTATTTTTTGATACCAGATGTATAAAGCAATAAAGGTACACGATTTCTGATATTAATGTAACAACCTTTCAACGTAAGTATTAAATAGCCGTCCGGTTAGCCAAAGAGTTAAAGCGGGGCGACCCGGGTTTGATTCCCGGACGGTGTAGGTCACTTTCGTTGTGATTGATCATCAAATCCTTTCTACGGTCACTGTACCTCTTCTCTTGCGGAAGTGAATGCAACTAGTACTGGTAAACTGCTTATTAGTCTGTCCAGGAACAATGCGATGGCTGAACTGTGCTCTGGTAAATTCAATGTGGCTTACTGCCGTGATCCGGAGTGAAAACTACCACTACCACCACCACCACCACCACCACCGTAACTATTAATTTATTTTATAAAGGAAAAGGTGAAATCAGTGGCGCACTTTTTGTTAATTATATTGCGGATTGTCTTAAAATATTTTAATACGTACACCTTTCTGTATGGAGAATAATAATCGGGGGTTAAGAACTACATGCTGCTTACCATGACACAACTGGGGTACGTAAAAGAGCAAGGACGTGGATATTTCTCGAAACGTGAAGCTAAACAGTTGACGCCTTTATGCATTTATATTGTGCAAGTGACCCAAAATCTAATACAATCGGCACAGAATCATGCCCATTCGGTAGAACTTACATTGAAAATTGTCTGATGAATAGCCTAAGCTTATCTCAATTGAGTATTGTCCGAAAGATAAACGAGGCACAATAGCTTTTATGTCTTGTCGCCGATCTTGTGTTTATGTCTGAAGATAAGTGGGAAATACATTGTATCACACTCACAAAGTGTATATTGCAATAAATGGCGGTTTTTCATTAGACTTTTTATCACAATTCTTCACTATAACAATACTATTACTGTGGACCATCATTAGATTTATGGACATTGCCTGCAACTATTTTATTTCATTGCAAAGTAGAAGTAACCTGAAAAGATAAACGTGATTTTATTTAGATTCCATACAGTTAAAATTACAGTTAAAATGCATTTAACGCTTTTTGCTATTTAATTTCAGGATAAGTAAAATTCACTTGATAAGAAAGATAAATATATAGATATATCTGTCTTTATATATATTTTGTATATCAATAGCAGAAATGACTTTTCAGTAATGAATTGTTTGAAAAAAAGTTTATTCTTTTCTAAATGAAATATCCACGATAACGGCATGCATATGACCATGTACAAAAACAAAATATTCAATAAAATAAACAGGTAAGAAACGAATTATGTTGTCCGAAATTGACTAGTTAAAATTGTGTTTGTAAGAAAATAACAATCTTTTTATTAACAAAATCAACTGCTATTATTTCATTGAGTATTATTCCGTTGAGTTATAGTGTGTTAACATTCAAGCGTAGATTCGCAGCTCATATCCCTTTTAAATTAACAAAATTTAATTTACTCCATGACATTGTTTTCATATCTGGCAAACACTGAACCAAACACAGTCTCAGTTACACCTTTGGTCAGTTCATTGTGTCATTGTTACTTTGCCATCTCAGGGCATTGATGTTACAAGCTGTATGCGTCTTTTACAGGCTTTTTGCTGATTGAATTATTTCTTAATCACCAAACTCGTTTATTGTTGTAACAGCTAAATGAGACATTTGATACTTTCTAGTACCACCATTAAGGGGAAACATCTTCTTACTTTAATTCTACAATATCGAAGTAATGCTTCCTTATTGGATTTCTACAACTTGAAATGTTTTTGCGAAGACAGAGCAGTCTCTTTAGATATCCAAAAATTCCGCCGCATTTAATGTTTGTGAACAGTCTGGATTGACATCGTCTGCAGTAGAAGTGATAGCTAGAAATATTCTAATTTTGGCGCGAACGGGATAAAGAACGGAAATTATGTGTGCAACAATAAAACTGTTTTGAAGTCAAGAGCTATTGGTTGATTAGACCAAAGGTTAAATGAGTTGCTACATCAGATCAAATTTAATGGATACCAGTTTTAGTGTAGAATCAAAAGATTAAAATGAAAGATTCGCTGTGCTATGAAAGCCATTGAAAGTTTCTTTTTAAAAACAATATATAACCACTGGTGATCATATTTCAAACACGAGAATATTTTTGATGTTGTTGAGAAAAAAATGAATTAACAAAACCATCAAACAATTAACATTGCTATCAGATTAGTATTTCCTGTAATGAAACGCAAAATATGAAATATGATTTAAAAGAAGTTTGTATTTTTTATTGGATATAAACCAGAATATGGATCAATATAATATGTAACTTTGTTACAATATGAGCTATAACTTTGGTTAAAGATGTCAGTTTGGGAACGCATAGTTGAGGACGTTGATGATAATGAACCTTTGCACCAGGTAATTTGTCTCATGTTTAACATTATATTAAGAAGACATACGATTTAAGATATAACTGATATTCAACTATTTAAAAATCTGCTTGACTTCAACTGTTTAAAATCACGATATACGGTATACATACGGCCAAATTTAATCATTTAATCAAATTAAAATGGTATTTTTTCATACAAAAGTATCTCAATTGAAACAAAAGGTGTATGCTTATTTCTTATAAAGCTGTCAGGAAATGTATACCTGCCTTTTATCTTAGACATCTTTACGAACGAATAAAAAATCACAGAAAAAATATTTAGTAAGCACTTTTTTCACTTAATCAGCATATCTACATGTCTACATGTGCTATCATATTATTTTAATAACAATCAAACATAATAACCGATAATAAATGTAGTATATATATGATATTTTAGAGGACACTTTTTCATCATCGTGGTGTTTAATTAAGTATGTGTGTTTGTGTGTGTGCTCGCAAATAGTTTCCTTTCAAATATTTCTTTTCGGGCGCATAATGCCTCAGAAACGAAGAAATATTTACTTCTTTACATGAGTTTTACAATATCAAAGAAATTTTTTCAGTGCATATTAGATGCTTGTTACCTGAAGAATTTAGTGGTAAATATGCAGTTATTTGTCATAAAATAGCAAAATATAAGCATTTTGACTTCCATACAAAACACTAAACCACTGTAACTAGATGTATTGTCCAAAGGCAGCAGATGGAAAAGGAAGGTCAATAAAAGCATTTCTGCTGCATAATGGGCTTTTAAATAAATCTAAAGCACCGGTATATAGAGTTTTATAAAATCCAGACTCTACCATAAGCGGTTTTAAACCTAGCTGTTGCAATTAAATACGTTCGAAACACAAGGTAACCGCTATGCGAATATTAAAGTCTACATCAACATTGTAAATCTATTTTTTGTATTTTTCAAAAATGAGATAAAAACTCATGAAAACTAATTTCCATACTTAAATATTGTTGTATCGATGCTGTCTTTTCCAACAATGATTTATGATCAGTGTTATCACAACAAAACGATATAAAGGCCTAATGTTTCATTTAAGAGCATGTATGATTGACAGAGTGCTGATACCGTCTAAATAAATTAATCTCAGGGAGCTTCTTCTGTAAACATTAAGCAACATGCTGAGATAAAACATTCACATCGAGCTAGCACTCAACTACGACAAAAATGTAAAGAATAAGAACAGTCATGTTTTGAAGGGTAAACATGATAAATTAGCGGTCCTTTTTCGGGCTGTTTGTGCCTCTAGAAGTATATATTTATTCAATATCAACCTGTCTTGGTGTTGAATATTTTAGAGAGAATTTCTCAATATATTTGTGTCATACGTATTTAACATTTAAACTAAAATATATTGCAAATGTCTTTACCTTATGTACAAGTATAAGTTACAGTAGAATCCCTACTTAAGACCACCACGGAATGAGGACAATCCCGCTATTAAGACCATTTTTATAAGAACAGAATTTTCTGCTCTTTATGTCATTGGTTACATGATATAGAATTAAGACCACGTACCTTATCTACTTTTAAGACCACATATTTAGTCCCAATTATTTGTTTTGTTCTTTATTGACCCTACTATTGAGACCGCTGATATTGAAGTCGACACCTACCTCGAACTTAAATTTGTTTTATGTTGTTTTTATCTGCTTAAATGTTTTTAGGCATGACACTTGATTTCACAAGGTGTCAAAAACACCTTACTTTTATGGGATATTGTATGAAATATGGTCAGGAAGTAAATTTTAGAGTGGTTGAATGATACTTTATGTACAATTATTTTGTGAAAAAATATTTTTTTTTATTTGATAGGTGAATTATGTACATCATATGATAATTAATATTGAAATCAGACCAAAAAGAAAATAAAATTTAATATCTTCAATCCCAATCAGATTTAACATTATGTCATACTTTTATATTGTATTTGCAGGTTATTATACATATTGTTTGTTCATACAAAATGACTAAAATAGACCATGTTCATAAAGTGTGTAAGCAATGATAAGAATATTCACAATTAAGACCACCGCGCAATTAAGACTACTTGGGCCAGTCCCGATGTTGGTCTTAATTGAGGGTTTTTACTAAATAAACTTGAATACCTATAGCCATGATATTCCTTTGTTAAACAAATTGAGAATGTCGTGAGAATTTTTTGTCATTTTAAATGGAAGTACCATCAGTTTACTTTTTTTTTCTTTTAACATTCTTTAAGGTTCAGAAATAAATGTAAATGATATTATTGAGTGACATTCATTTGCCGCTTCAATTCAATCGACATTTGATTTAAGGTTTAGTTTGATATACTTGTAATGGTCAAATTTCTTTTGTTATAATTCGTTAAGGATTGTGTACCTGGGTGAACAATGCATAACATCGACAAATTGATTTACTATAATTACCTCTTATAATGCTAACACAACAATAAAGAAAGTGAGATGCGGTTCTTAATATCTTGTATTTGCAGATGATATGTAAACAAACTTTTTTTTAATTTGTTCTTTTCAATATTAAAAATCTAGTTACTTTAGCGATTCATTCGATACTGAACAGATTATAAAATCTGCTATAATTGTGTTTTTGAAAAAAAGTGTAATAAAATCAATATTAGTCTTGCGAAAACTAAAATGGCTTCATTTCTTTGACAGAGATGAAACTGTTGACGAAGGTGTTATTTGTCTGATAAAACATTTAAGTTAATTGTAATGCATTAATGGGTTATGTATGAGAAATATTTCTCTTGTCTTTGCTACTGAACACGCAGTTTATGCTTAGATGACTTGTGCAAAGTGGTTTTCGCAATAAACGTGTTAGATTCGCACGCTGTTGTACGCTTTATGTCTTTTCCTAAACAGCTTGGTAATCAATTATGTAAATTCTAACTTAAGAGGCACTCGGCTGTCAACGAACAGCTATCGGAAGAATTTATCTCTTTAAACAATGTTTAAAAGCGATAACCCTTAACATTATAATACAGCACGGTTATCACAATACTATTCCTCAGAAAACAAACATATTATTTTTTTGTAACTAAAGGTATTGAGACCTCAAAAACTAATATGAGTGTATGACAGGGGTTTGATACAGGTAGGATAAGATAAAGTATTATGTCCATAAATATTTTTTGTAGCACTTATATGAGTTGATAGTATTACACAGTTGCTCATTAAAATATTTAGCTCGATTGGTTTGTTTTTATTATGCTTATAAAGACAAATAAATGGTTAACGCTTTATTTGATGTATTGTGTTCATAAAGACAAATGGTTTACGCTTTATTTGATGTATAGTGTTTAAAAAAAGACAAATGGTTTACGCTTTATTTGAGTAGAGTGTAATTCTAAAGAATGTTCGCCAATTGCAACAAAAGTCGCGCTGCTCGGATATCTTATATAGCAATTATGAACTGATTTTTATTCATTGAATGTTTTTCTTTTCTTTCAATATATACTATTAACATCGAAAACAAGCGGTTTTGCTTTAATATCTCATGTGGCAATCGCATTCTTTTTATCAGGTTGTGCGCTCCATGCATTCATAAGATTGAGTGTATATTTGAATCTGCACTATATTTTGAAAGGTAAAAGTCATCATAAGGAAAGAAGTAAATTGTATATTAATATTAAGTCCCTATAAAAGTACGTTTATAAAGTACAGTAACGTAATGTACAGTCTTGACCAAATGTAACAATGGAATTTTGTTCAATAGAATCAATATGAGATTAAATGATAGAGGAAATATTTGATTTTTCTTGTATGTATGTATGTATGTATGTATGTAATTTTTATTTTTTGTGTGTAGAATTTGTATTATTACTTGTATTATAGTAAAATACAGCTTATTTATTTCTCAATGACAGCGTGTGTGTTGTATATATCACTTTATATGGGATACAATGATTTTAACTGTTTTATTGCATAAGAATTAAAAGTTAGTTAAATATTAGTCTTAAATAAATTGTACATTGAAAATATTAAAAAAATTGTAAGTTTATGAAGAGACAACCCTATAGTGGATGCAATGACCAGAGTAACAATGCGGACACAAGAATGATCATATAAAAATATAGATCCATTTTAGGAACAATATCAATATTTCTGTTTACTTAATAAATGTTCATAATTTATCTTGTAAGGAATTTACATTTTAAGGGTACTTTTCATGTCCATTTTTATCAACTTTATATTGATGAAAAATTGTTTGAAATTTAATTCTGGATATTGATTCAGATTTTTACTGTACGAGAATATAATACTAGAGAAACAACAACGTTTTCAATTTATAACATACACCTCAACTTTCATGTTTTCTTTTTGTTTCGACCTGGTTTAAGGTTATTCATTTAGAAAAACATTAAGACATTAAGATAATTCGAATCTCTTAGGACCTCAAGCAATGTCATGCATACGAATGGTTTACTTAGCATACTGATACTTGGAAAGTTCACTGTTATGTTACAGTTCGGTAATTTTTAAGTTTTAACATTCATTTCTTGATATAAACAGCTATTTAAGTAAGATGTCTTATCCCTAAAAAAGAACTGTTGGATTGAAAAATAATACCACTATATGTGTGTATTTATTTTTAATACATTCTTTTCTTACAACGGACACCATAAATAAAGCTTGACAGCAAATTTGTCAGAATTTCAAGCTAGCTATCAGTAATCATCTTGTTACATATGATTGTCGAAGACTTCATTTTCAAGAAAAATATAAAAAGGAAGCCTACAGTTTAGCTGCTTGAAACGATATTTGTTCAACCTGATATAGAAGTAGAGTGCATCAATTTTGACTAAATCTAGAAACAAAGGCGCCCATATGTTTGTGTAAAAGAAAATTTTTTGTACAAGACTGTGAAATTGCGTCTACCTAAGCATAATATACTGTACACGACCTGTAAAATACATTTGACCCGTCAATAAGGGAAGGTCAATCATTTTGATTCCTTAAGTATAACACGTAAAGTTAAGATTATTTCCTTTCTCAAAGAGTAACGAATAGCCCTTGCAAAAAATCACAACCATGTAATTGGCAATGATTTGAGCGTAATAAATATTGCAATGGATAATTGAAAAACTGATGGTCTTGCTTTTATTTTCAGGAGACGAGGACTGACCTGCTTACGGAAGAGTCCGAGGAACTGTCGACCATTGAGCAAGCTCAAGATTTAGGATCGAAGATACAAAGGGCTCAGCCTGATTTTATCATTCTTCATTACAGGTGAGGTTATGTAGATTTTATATATAATGGTGATATTTTTTTATATGTTTTGTACATTGTACTATAACACTTCAGGCGGTTTGTACACTAATTAAAGGACATTACTTCATTCAGTTTTGTTCATCACTTTCATAAAATTCATTCCTGGTATACATTATTCAACCTTATAATATACCTATCATTATATGATGGTAAAACTGTTGTTCTGAAATAAAATGGTGTATCACTGAAATACTCGCTGACATTAATGATTAATACTTCGAATAAAAATGTTTGATAATTAGAGTATAGTTTAAAATTAGATTGGAAACATACTAACTGTATTAGTATGTCAAAATAATATTGTTCTTTGATTGGCAATGTTCAAAATATGATGTCATTTTATATGTCCTCGACTAATAAGTCGATGTAAACAAAATATATAATAAATATTAAGACAACAAATATATTTTCAATGATTATATTATAAAATTTGGATACTCATATTAAATAGTATCGTATTCATATTACATAATTGAAATGTATTTTATACATATTAAATGTGACACTGAATTAATGTTTATATCTCTCAGCATGTTATGTCAACATCAAAAAATGCGTTTTCATTGTTCTTCTCACTACTGACTGAGAACGTTAATGACTTTGTTAAATTAAAACAGCATGTTTCGCACAAAAAACAACATAAAAAACCTTCTTTTCTTTAGCACAGTCATGGTGTTAAAACTGTCCAATGTATTGCTTTTTACACTAAATGTGGACGATATTATAGTAACCATTTTAATCTTAATTTCAGTCCATTTAAAGCGGTATGGGACTGGGTGGTTCTAATTCTTGTACTTTACACTGCTGTATTCACGCCTTATCAAACGGCATTTCTACTGAACGAAGAAGAAACAACGATGCGACTCAACAGAGACGCTTCTACAAGAACTCAGAGCACAGATACAACAACAGCCAACCCTCTCGTTATCATCGACCTAATCGTTGATCTGATGTTTATCGCAGACATTCTGATTAACTTTAGGACAACATATTTACATAACGGAGAAGTTGAGATGGACCAAAAGAAGATTGCTATAAATTATGTCAAAGGTTGGTTTGTCATAGATACCATTGCAGCCATTCCATTTGATCTCCTGCTGTTTGGGTCAGGAACCACCGATGTAAGTTTAATAAAGATACACTATGCCAAATTGTATTTCTATTCAAATCCATAAATGTGTCTACTGTTTTCTAAAGACTTACAGGCATGACGAAAAGAACAGAACTGGAATACATTATTTAGTTTTCTTGGAGCACCTTTAAAAAGAATACTATCTTTGCTTACGATTCAAGATGACTGTCCTTATTTGATATATCATTTTCAATAGCGACTACATTACATTTTCTTTTTTTTTTTAATACAAATTTGTAATTCTATAAATAATGTATAAAACCAGAACTGTTTTACTTTTTTCTTATCAGATTAATTATATATATAATTTAAATATACAAATTCAGTAGGACTAATCAATTAACAATATGTTATTTACAGAATATATTGCCGTTTTCAGATTTTCTATATTGCACGAACCGTTTTCTATATTGCACGAACCGAATACTCAATCTCCGTCTTAGTAATACTAAAGGATATTGAAGGATAAACTATAAACAGTAATATCCGTTTCAGCTAAGTAAATTGCATCCGTCTGTGGCAATCAGTATTAGATCTGCCATTTTAACATTTATCTTTCTTTTGTATTGAATCCTTTTTTTTGAGTTTGTATTTATACCTATAATTTCTAAATCAAGTATAAAAGAGTTACACTATTTCAGACGATGACTATTGCTGGAATTCTCAAAACGGCAAGATTACTACGTCTCCTTAGAGTGATTAGAAGAATTGAGCAGTTTGCGGAGTACGGGGCAGCCGTCCTTCTTCTTTTGATGGTTACGTTTTCTTTAGTTGGGCATTGGTTGGCGTGTATATTTTATGCTATTGCCTATATGGAGAGACCGCACCTCAAAGAACCAATCGGCTGGTTAGATACATTAGCGGTACAACTGAATCAGCCATATATTGTGAATGTTACAAATAGCGGTCCAAGTATTAAGACAAAGTATATAACGTCTCTGTATTTTACATTTACGTCCTTGACAAGTATAGGATTTGGAAATATATCTCCGAATACCAATGCTGAAAAAATATTTTCCATATTTGCCATGATGTTGGGCTGTAAGTATTTGAAACTTTTAACGTTATCTTTTAATTCTGGTGATTTTGCTTCTTAACAGCAACACTATAAGCATCGATACTAAAATACGTAGGATACATTGCCGTTTCATAAAACACTCTTCTTATTCTCAACAACCTGTGTACATTTGTACAGTCGAGTTTATTTTGTGCTTTTTAGCTTGACTATTCGAAGAATATGAGAGCTATTGTAGTCGCCCCGGCGTCGGCGTCGGCGTCAGCGTCTGCGTCGGCGTCTGCGTTGGTTAAAGTTTTTTGTAAAGTCAAATATCTCAATTATTACTTGAGATATTCAATTGAAACTTACAATACTTATTTATAGTAACAAGGTACATCAGATTGACAAGTTGGATAACTCTGCCTACAATATTGACAGAATTATGTCCCTTTTTAACTTAGAAATTTTGGTTAAAGTTTTTTGTAAAGTCAAATATCTCAATTATTGCTTGAGATATTCAATTGAAACTTACAATACTTATTTATAGTAACAAGGTACATCAGATTGACAAGTTGGATAACTCTGCCTACAATATTAACAGAATTATGCCCCTTTTTAACTTAGAAATTTTGGTTAAAGCTTTTTTGTTAAGTCAAATATCTCAATTATTGCTTGAGATATTCAATTGAAATTAAAAATACTTTTTTATAGTAACAATGTACATCAGTTTGCAAAATTGCATAACTCTGCCTGCAATATTTGCAGAATTATTTGCCCCTTTGAAACTTAGAACTTTTGGTTAAAGGTTAAAGGTTTTCAAAGATATTTACTTGAAACTTTACACATGCACTTAGGGTCATAATTGGAAGGTCATAATCGTATGTAACTGACCAAGTTCCATAACTCTATCTTGCATTAAGGCTGGTTCATATCCCCTTTTCTACTTAGTGTCTTGGTTAATGTTTACATTATTATTATTATTACATATCTCAATAACTATTAAAGATATTTACAAAATGTATTTAAAACTTCACATATGATTATGGGTCATAATTGTAGGTCACTGACAAAGATCCATAATTCTATCTTGCATTTAGGCGGATTTTTCTCCCCTTTTTTCAACTTAGAAATTCATGGTAAATTTTTGCTTCCAAGCTGTTATATCAACTTCTACTGAAGGGTTTGTGCCTTTTTTGGGACAATTTTATGCATTCATGATAATAAAGCAGTGATTTACTTGATAAAACATCTTAATAACAAGCCTTTGTACCTTTTCTGTCAAATTTATGTATTCATAGGTAATTAATATAATTATACTCAATAAAACACCCTTGTGACATTTCCATCCGAATAGTCAAGCCAATACTGTATAATTAGACTCTCTCTAAGGCCTATAACATGAATTTTTAAAAAGAAATTAGCCCTTTTGTGAACTTAAAAAAATTAACATTATCAAGGCTCTTTTACTATCAAGCACTTAGAATAGTCGAGCGTGCTGTCCTACCGACAGCTTTTGTTATTCTTCATACTTGTACTATTTTTAGGCAATATACATTTTAAAATTAATAGTACATATTTAAATTCACAATGTAACGTAGTTTTTAAATTAAAATTTATATGTTTACAGCATTATTGAGCGCCGCTATATTTGGTAACGTATTTTTATTGACTCCATATTTTTACAGCATTACTGAGCGCCGCTATATTTGGTAACGTATCGTCCATCATGTTAAGAATTTATCAAGGAACAGACGAGTATCATGAGAAAATGCAGAGTATTAAAGACTTCATTAACTTTCATCACTTGCCAAAACATCTTGCCAACCGGTTGCAGGAATCCTATACGCATGCCTGGGCATACACCAAGGGAATAGATATGAATTCGGTACGTTATTAACATTTCCCCATCCCCCAAATTCATTTAAATTAGAAATAATTTTTCTTCTTCAAATCATGTACAGCTTCGTACATTAATATTCTTATAATTGTAATTTGGTCATTTGTTGTTAAACAAGTTATGTCAAGTACTAAAATTAAATCGCCTCCGTGGTCGAGGGGTTAGAGTCGATGACTTCTAATCCAGTTACCTCTCTGGCGTGGGTTTGATCCCCGGGAGGTGCTTTGGTAGTTTAGCGCGGAGGAAGGTAGTCTAGTACTGGTGTAACTCTCCAGGAACGATGGTTAGGAAACTTCCCCCTATATGACTGAAATACTGTTGGAAAAAGGCACAAACAAAAATATGAACTTAACCGAGTATGTTGATTTGGATTTGAAGTTTAAAGTTTAAAAATGCCGAAATTTTACTCATAAATTAGTTATGTTTATCATCTAAATACATCTAAATAATTAATTCAAAAAATAATCGTCTTATTTGAAAAAGGCTATTTTTTGTAATGAATTTAAATTGAATAAAGAGTATTTTATTAACACTTAATGCATGTTCACAGAAAACCATTTTACTAATCATAATATTTACATGTACATACTATATGAAGGGTTTTACACCACAAGAGTTTCATTTTATGCTTGACCTGACGTACAATATAGTGACGAGAACTGTCTGAATACGATATGACAGAGCTAAGATTTCTTCGTCTAATTTTGTCAGATAAAGCGTGTCTGACAAAACAATTTGTGAAGCTTGAAACTGACGCGATATCATAGTAATCAACTTTTCCTTAGAATGTCTTAATTCCCTTTCTCGTTTTCTGATAGACCAAATGTTCTGCTTTCAATCACAAACAATTTACCATTAGACAATGTTGTAGATAAATTTTTTAGACTATATACATTTACATTTGTGAATGTAACTTTATATATGACATATTGAATACTTGGGAATTGTAATCAAGGAAAAACAATATAATTATCATCATATTTCACTATACTGGCTTTTACCATAATATTATTTTTGTTTTTGTGGTTGACTGAAGACTTTAACCAGAAAAAGATGTAGTGTTTTAAATAAAAAATCATCTCAGACATTTTATAAGTTAAACGTCATGCGAGACATTTATTGCAGAATTTTCTTTTAAAAACAAATAAAACTACCACGAGTCTAATTTTATATGCATGTATACATGTATATATTAGAAACGAACAAAAAAAAGAAGAAGAAGATAACTTGAATGGCTTAATAGTTTAGCGAAATTAATTCATAGCAGTAGATATAAAATGCGATGGAAGTATAGTTCTTGAACATATCACATATGTTATTCAAATTTAGAAATGTGTTAACTGTAGTTATGTTATTTTAGGTTTTAAAAAGTTTTCCCGAGTGCCTTCAAGCTGATATATGTCTTCATCTGAATCGAAATCTGCTGAATAATTGCCCAGCTTTCCAGAAAGCGTCCACAGGTAAGATAAATGAGCCGCGTCAAGACAAAACCAAATAATGGGTTTGCGACCAGCATGGATCCAGACCAGCCTGCGCATCCGCGCAGTCTGATCAGGATCCATGCTGTTCGCTTACAAATCCTTTTACAAGTAGAGAAACTGATAGCGAACAGCATGGATCCTGATCAGACTGCGCGGAGGCGCAGGCTGGTCTGGATCCATGCTGGTCGCAAACCCACTGTGTTGGTTTTGTCGTGACACGGCTCAAATGTGTTTAACACTGACATGGATTGCCGTAAACACAGGCGGTTGTTTTATAGACTGTCCAATGTCCAATATTTTGTTAATGATATTAAATGATATTTGGTATGAAAAGAAATGTTGTAAGTAAACTGACTACAAGTAAAAATTTTTATCTAAATTTGACTAAAGTCATTCAAAATCGCTTGTTACCTTACATTGAAATCGAAACCAGCACAAATCGGGTACCAGAAAAAAATTGCACATGTTTGCATTTTTATTTATCGACCGAAACGTTATGTACATTCATACATTTTTTGCCAATAAAATAGAAACAATCTAAGATGCGTGTTGTTCATAGCAGTATTTGGAGTAATTCTTAAACACATTGCTATGATACTCTGACATCGATTCAAGTAATTGACTACAATTACGAAATCATTTACCCCCAAGTAGCATTTTACCGTCTGGAATTATTTGTTCTGTTGGTCGTAATTGTATACAATTTCTTCATTATATTTGATATAATACAAGTAACAATGTCTCATCTGTTGTGGTATTATATATACAAGATAGCTAAATATATTGTATATTGTTATTGCATGTCGGACAGCCGATTATACCACATTATAATGCATTGTATCTCTCCGTTCATATATACAATTGCACTAAGCACGCTTTCTCGTGACAAAATAAAGCATACATCTGAATACAAAAAGATGTTTCTGTTATTCCAACCTTACATAATAACGGTTTTATTTAAATTATACTTGTATAACTATGTACCCAACGACTGATTTTAATAATGTAGTTTTCACGGATATATCAGTTATCCACCGAAAAGCATAAAAAAGTAACTTTTCAAACATATCAAACTTTAGTAATATTTTCTATTTATTTATTTTCAACATTTTTTTTCAATTTTAGCATTTATCTTTTTACAGTACTTGTTAATATATATTAATCTAGTAGGAATTCAAAAGTTTACGATTATATTATTCAGGCATTGTAATCATATTTATTTTTTGTTCTTTCTGCTACAAAAATTAGTATAATTTGCTTCAATATATAAAGTAACTATTTCAATTGAATAATGAATATTTGCAGGTTGCTTAAGGGCCTTATCTATGCAATTCAAGACGACGCATGCTCCCCCTGGAGACACTCTGATACATCCAGGTGACATTTTAACATCTATTTATTTCATGGCAAGAGGTTCAATAGAAATATTGAAGGATAATACAGTCATGGCAATTCTAGGTAATATTATTTCTCATAATACATTTCATAGATTTTAGTTTATACAAATTTATTTTAGTTCGATTGTGTTGGAAGCTATAAGCTTATTGAAACACTCTCGAATCCGTTCCTAGAACCAACCAGTACTAAGCAATGAGTGTAAAGTTTCTTGCTCAAGGAAACAAGGGCTTGGCCCTGACAGGGTTCGAACCCAGGCTGTCAGCAATTCTTAGATTACTAGTCCGACGCGTTGACCACTCGGCCACGCCGCCATGATTTTAAAATCCCCACGTTTATAAATATAAAGTAAGTAAGTATTTTATTTATGAAAGTGACAATAGTAAACATATTTTACAAATCAAATTAGACAATTAGCATTTAAGTCACCTCCAATAAACATGAACTATTTACGTAAAACCGTAGGCGATTATATAAACAAGCTCATTTGTAGAAATAGTAGCTATAACGCGATAGAAAGATGAATGAAACATATTTCAATTGCCCTTTAAATGGTCATCATTCGTTAACATATGTATATAATCTTTGTTTAATCATCACCGTGACTATATCAATAGTTGCAAGGATATAAATTCATTATTTCAAGAATGGAAAAAATATGAGTTCTTAGCAACTTTTTGCGAATATATGCTAATGCTAGCTAGACTGCTGACTAATACGCTGTGAGCCTTAATTGTAATATTATGTTACGTATGGTCTTAATGATCTTAATTACTTATACACTGTTGTCAGTGATATATTAAGGTTTGACGCCGCATTTTATAAATACCTTTTTCATTATGTTCTAAGGCATCCACTGCATATGTAATGTTATCATAAGGAAGAAAGTTATAGGGAATGGCCTCTTTTCTACTTCGTTACAAGATGATTTAGCAAGGAGAGGCAAATAAAGTTTTCAATATATTCAAAATCACCCTCACTTTCAACATCCATAAATAGCTGGTTAACAAAAAACTGGGTATAGTAGTATCTTAAAGAATATTTCACGGTTCATCAGCGAAAACAATTTCTCTGTCAGAAAACCACCAGCATCCCTCGAAACAGATGCAATTATTTTCTTGCTTATGAAACAGCTTTTATTGCTCAGTTTGGTCTTCTGAAGAGAAGCTAGCATTATAAGTGCTGCAGATGATAAATCTTTTTAATTCCTTTAAAACATTATACGCCACTTCGTGCCTTCTTGTGGTCCTTTGTGTTTGGTGCTGAGGTCAGTGAACTTTACTCATCTGATTTAAAGTATATGTCTTTTAGTAAATTCCATGTCATGGTTGAAATTAGCTAGAATTCTACTTAACGTAAAGTAAACGAAATACAGTATCGACTTACTTTATTTTGAGTTACCTGATTCTGAATGTTGTCTTAAAGTGTTAAAGGAAGGAACCGATAATAACTGGTAAGATGGCGACCCGATGTGTTTTCCTGATATTCCTTCAAAATAAAAATTGTTTATTATTGTTACTAATCTGTACGATAAGAACTTGTACCTAAAATATCATCATATTACTTATACTGTGAAAAAGTCTGACTATCTATACTATCTGGACTAAGTATGCTTTACTCAGTTTATCCCATCTTATGAATAGATCCCTGACCTATCTAATTCTTATTATCAGATTAGAGGATACAATAATAATTTCACCACAACAAAAGAGCACATGTCAATGTTTATGGTTAAATCTATTATCTATCTGTTATTCAAATTAAACGTTACAGTAGGGATCTATCAATAAATATGTTTCAACATATATGTTTATTTTATTTCAATTACATTTTTAATTTTATGAACTATCTATCATAATAGGGTCATAATTTATTTTTTATAGAACTCGGAGTTTTACGTGGTTTGTTTAAATTATTTCTAACAACAATTTTCTTTCTTTTTGAATAAAGAAACCTACTCCTGAAAGTATTCAATATGTTTACCTTTATTAATAATTCTGTACATTTTCTTTGATTCTATTCCAGGTAAGGATGACATATTTGGCGGAGACCTTAAAGATTTGAACACTACTGGGAAATCTCTTTATTTTGTCCGTGCTTTAAGTTACTGTGATATAAACAAAATAGAGTTGTCCGACCTGAAAGATACACTTTACTCCTATCCAGAATTTTCCAGTGAATTTATGTCGAAGATCCGAGTTACATTCAATTTGAAGCGGGTAAGTAATTTAGCCAAATAGTTACGATTTCTGCATTTATGTTTTTAATATGTTTGAGGACGTCCCTTGCAAGTACCATCCATTAATTATGGTCATTTTAGCATTATTATTATTAAGTTGAGATAAATTAACATCATATTTCAAAAGATTGATGTAATGGTGACTGTCCAACAATAGACATTCCAAAATGTTAAGGATAAAATATATGATTGCCTTAAATTAAAAAAAAAGACAGTCAAACGTTTTAAGCAATACAGGTAGTTTCCGATAGAAGTTTTTTTAATCAATGGATCATGTTAATTAATAATTGGTCATGCGAAGTGTATTAAAATATGACAAAAATTAAAATTTATTTTGACTTTCATCTGTTCAGTTTACACCCTTGAATGGGCATAATGTCACTTTAACAGGATGCTAGTACATCTTGATTACAAGCTTTCCATGGAGTATCATTGCCATGTAATCATATTACCAGCAATGCAGTCGTTCGTTTGACCCCCATTAAACTTCAATTATATATCGAACTATGATAGCCAACAGAAATATTTTGAATTTTATATAGAAAAATATGATATTATATATAACTATAGGGGACTTTATTTGAAACACGTAAGAAATCGAAGATAGATGAAGAAAAACTGCGATTCATCAGACAAAAACGTCCACATATGCAGTCAAAAGGAAAACTTGTCGATATTGTAGGTAAATCAATTATTTGTTCTGAGTGCTTTTTGGTAGGTGAATTTAATGGGTTCATACAAGGTATGATACAAACAGGTTATTCTTTATTCTGCAACTGCAACATTTATGTTGTAATGATGTATGTTTTATTACTGTTAAATCTTAAGATTTACTACTGTTAAAACTACATGTATCTTAAACTATATTTTTCTCCTTGGTATTAACGGAAATAGCATGCATGCATTTTACTGTTTCGTTACACTTTTTTGAAAGTTTCAATATATATGTTTGACTTTAATAAAGGTACAGCCGTCAGTGCGGCTTCAAGGGGAAGAAAGCACAGCGCCTCACAGACTGAAAGTTGTGATAACGTTGGATCTCATATGCTGGAACTATCACCTGAACAGGCCTATACTGATATTGACAAAGAGTTTGAGGACAGACGCCATCAGTCGTCACCGCAACCAAGTTCGTCAATACATAATCTTTTCCTTGTTTCTTTGGGATTATCAATTATCATTATTTTGGGACAAACTTCAACTACTTAGATTATGTTTCATGTTAAATCACCTGCTCCAGTTAAGTTGTTTTTATTTGTATCGATGTAGCGTATTTATGAATGTGAGTTACCAAAGAAATGAAACTGGATATAAAACAAAGTTCATCTAGCTTACATGTAACTACGAGTTAGTGTGTGCCAGTATCAATTACAATCACAAATTCAACGAATAAAAACGAATGAAATTAGTTAAGAAAATCTTTTAAAAAAATAAAAGAAAACTATGTAGCCTATATCAGATAAAACCATCAATCTAAACGTAATTTAATATTCAAAGTGATTCATGGATGAAATGCTCTTAACATTCGGATGACATGAATACATTGTTACTTAATGTTATTTACGTACATTAGTTTAGTAACATTAGTTTAGTCTGCCAAAACTTTGTCTTGCTTTTTAAAGTAACATGATGTATGATTATTTCTCATAATATACATAAACTGACGTATATAATCATCGTAATTTCAGAAGACGACCAAGGTGTTTCACAGAAACATCGGCATACACTAGCATCAAAGACAAGTTGCTCGAGCCATACATTAAAAGGTTCTTCACCAGGCGCTTCTACAGGTAAAATGCGATTTTTTTATAGTACACTGTTTTCAGTTAAAACATGTCATTTATTTTTTATTTCCTTTTATGTGACAACAATAATAATAATGTTTAGCATCTATGTTTGAAATGTTTAGACGAAAATACTTTTCTACACTTAACTATTGCAATAACTGTGTGTAGTATTATATTTTACAAGAAAAAACTACATGTAAGTCACGTGACCAACTGTAATTTCTATGAATATTGTTCATGATGTATCGGTTACGCTCAGTTGTTGAAAAAGTAGGGCTGTTTTTTCACAATTAAGGTAGTTTCAAATTCTTACATAAGCGATTTACGATATCAATTATTGGTTAGTCACGATGAGATTATGAATTATTTACAATTTTGATATATCATTTCATGATTTCATTTTCTTTGTCAGCAACCTCATATACACCAAAATCTATCTCTAGTGGAGGTCAGCGTTTCTCTTGGGGTCAAGGGCAAGTCGAAGGTCGTTTTTCTAACCAGGGGTCAAATCACGCTATGGGTGATATTGACAAACGTTTAGAACATTTATCAGAGTAAGCTGTATTACATTACATATCATATGTAAAGTTTATTTAAAAAAATACTGAAACGGATTTTACAACTCGTCCGGTAAAAACTAATAATTGAGTTTGTCAACTTTCGTTGGAATATGTCTGATAACTTTAAATACATGTACATTATATCATTTTTTATCATTTGTTCAAAGTTCATTCTTCCAGACAACTTGCAATAATGTGAGCATCACAAAAAAACAAAAAAAAAACAATTGACAATCGACATGTTTCTCTCACTGCTGATTTGCAAATTAGTTTGGAAAGTCTGCCACTTTCTTTCTAAGCAAATGGTAAGTTATCGGGGAATGCCGACCTATGATACATAACCAAACAAAGAAATCATTATCAGTATTATTATTTCTTATCTAAATATTATTATCATTATAATAACCATTGCTAAATTTTGTTCTCTTTTTTTCCTTCAGACGTATGGGGAAATTTGAAGACGATCTTTTTCAGACAGTTGATGATATTTTATTATTACTTGGACACAAACCATCCGTACAACAAAATCTAAGCCACGATCTAAATGTTATAAACACAGAACAGAGTGGAACGATCGTCAAGGAGAGAAGTGCAGTTAAAGTCCGGGTTCCAATAACTTCTAAGAAAGGGGCACGTTTGGTCAAATCTCCCAGTGAACTTTCAACACTTCTTGATAAAATGTGACAAAATATGGACACAGATTTAGATTGATATGACCGTTAGTATCAGTGAATATATCAACCTTATAAATGCATGTAAACAACGATTTATGACTGCGATTAAATGCCCTAAAGGTATTCAGTCCTATGACTATTAAAATACAGTTTTAATTTTATTTCTTAGTTATCAAACGTTGCATATGTTTCTTAAAACACAGACTGAGAATGTTTAATGATTTTGATTAAAGCATTGTTTGAATAAAATGGTACGTTGTTTGAATAAAATGGTACGTTGTTTGAATAAATGGTACGTTGTTTGAATAAAATGGTACGTTGTTTGAATAAAATTTTACGGTCTGATACAAAGAAACAACAACAACAATGAAACAGATGAATGCATGAAATTTATAAATTACTGTATTTATTGAAGAATAAACTGTTATAATTTTTTTCAAATATGTTTTATTATTTTTAATACATCATTCTTTATTAACTCATTTCCTTAATCAGTTAACCAGTCAAAAGAATACGTTGAACCTCTCCACTAGATTTGACTTGCATTCACTGATCTTTGAAAAAACATATACACTTAACGAAACTTTTAAGTACTCCTACCATTTTTTTTATTATATTGTGTTAGAATTACTATAACTAGTCTAAGTCGATACTGTATAAACTTTAATCATAGTATCATCATTTTATAATAGTAAATGCATTTAATGAATATATCTTGAGCACGTGTTGTTGCTCTACTACGTGGCCGTCTCGGGAGATTGGCGATACTTCCGGTTCGTCTGTATTTAGCTAGGAGCTTAGTAATGCTTCTCTTCTGTACATGCATTGCAATTCCTCTTTGTTGCAGCGACATTCGGGCCATTTTGTGTTTTTATGTTAGGCACATCAATAAACTAACAATTTGCATCAAAATACACAATGTGGGCATCTTGCACGAAATGCACGTGCCCATTTTCGGGTTTTTGCATGTGACCGCAATATTGCGTTTCGGATGATTGATTTTGTTTTAAAATCATTCATGCAGTCGGAAAGTAGAGTCAGTACACATTTTCAACATTGATTTGGTATATATTTTGAAAACCGGAGTTTTCCTGCAAGTTTGAAATCGGAGTACTTATAAGTTTCGTTAAGTGTAGAATATACATATATCATTCCTTGAAATTATCATTAAATCAAGAAAGAAAATCATTATAGATACATGTAACAGCATGGATTAAAGTTTGTTCAATTGTATGATCACTAGTTGTTTCCGTACATCAATGGCTTTAAGATTGTCGTCACAGACACGGATTCAGATTAACAAAAAAAAGTTCTTTGTATAATAAAAGTTCATTACCCTTAATTACTACAACGTGGTAAAATATTATTAAATTACTGTTATTAATAATATGCAGTTATTTTATTCTTATTAATTCGAATTTTAGATCTAACGTTAATTATTAATTCATAATTTCAGTAAGGAAAATAATCGGATTACTATGACACTAATCAGATCACATGCAAACATATTTCTGGCAAACATTTTAAATTAATCTTACTAATATTCATTCAAAATAAAGCATAGTTTAATTTCAAAAACAGGTATTATTTGATTAAGACAAGGTAATTGAGACAACTATGTTCAAAGAACGCCATGTCGTCTGGGAAAATTTACTATATATGTGCACAACCAAAATTCGATATCATAATGATTATAGTAATCATTTGTATAGCTGATATTTCCTTGTCATTCCAAGCACAATACAAAACCCATTTCAATTAGTACTGTATTGTTTTGTTTAAAATACCTTTTTACAGTTATACATTATTCAGTTAATACTTAAAATTGACATTACTTTTTTGACGGATACGTTTTCTTGCAAACATTCGGCAATGCTTATCACGTTATTTCTACTGCGTGACAAAGCAGTAAGGGCTAGTTTGACTGACCTATTTATAGTAAATTACGTCGATTGTAATCGCCAATTGCAATGTGAAAATTACTTTTTGTTAATAATAACTTACTTTTGAACACATTTAAAAAAACATTCATGAATACAAGCCAACATTTGGAGGTATGCTGCTTTAAATTTTAAAACCTATCTTTTCTGTTATGTTAATTTCGGTAAGACTCTTTACTTATTTTCTCGAATGTGTCAAATACAGGGTAATAATATATCCGTAAATTATTCTTTTTTTCATGAAGTTGAATTAATTAACCCTCATCAACATTAAAAACTGCATTGTTTGCACAATCGTTTCAAATTGCACCAACACTTAAGGAAAGATAAAAAGGCTCTACAACAGTCTAAACCGATTTGAAAGCAAACGTTGAAAAGTACTTTACTTAAGTCCCCACTGATGTATTTCAAAAATTCATGTATATAAGACAGACATAATAATAAAAAAGCTCCGGTGATGAACAAAATATCATGTTGGAAGATTAACATGGTTGAACAGTCGGCCGTTCTTGTCTTAAAACGTAAATAAAAACAAATGAATAGATTATCTGAACGTATAATGCAAATTATTTTTGTTCAGATTTATGCCTTATATGTTCATCTGAAACTGTTTGACTTGGAGAAAAGCCAATGTGTGCGAAATTAATCAATATAGGTTTCCATTGTATTGCGATGTATATACATTTCAGCATGTTTAGTATTTATATTTCTACACATAACGAATAAAGATGAGATTTTTGTTTACAAAGATTACCAAAGAGCCTTATGCTGAATATTTAGAGGTTTGCCTCGGCACGATTTTGTTTAGTATCCGTGCATACTTTATGACAAAAGAGATCGCTACTTATTAGTTTCTTCGGTAACAAAATGTATTTCTAATCCAATTTTACCCCATTAACAACTTCATTTACTGAATCTGCAATTATTTATGCCATATGAATTTCTAGAACAGTCATGAATCAAAACCAGGATTTTAATTGTCCAAAAACAAATAATTTTGCGGCAAATATTACTTACACGTTTGTGCCTCAAAGTATTACAAAACGTTTATATTGAAAATTGTTTTAGCTAATGCTTTGAAGTGTGACGTTATGTTGTCATTTGTAATATATCTCAGTAGAACCTGTTTCTTTTTCTTAAACTATTTTTTTTCATAATGTACTGTATTGGCGTCGAAACAAATAAAATACGCCCAGGGTGGGAGCACTCAGCGCTCAGTTAATTACTTTTGTGCAAATATTAACATTACACACATAGACACGTTTTAATTTCAGACTGAATGCGAACATTTGACTTAAGTGTTCGCGGACAATTTGATTGCGATCATATACAATGTTCTTTGAGGGTAAAGTATATTTGTTAACGATTCTAGTCATGCTTAAGAAGATGAAATACGACAGTGTTTCGTTTTTTGTTTTTTTGTTTTTTTTTTGTGTGTGTTGTTTTTATCATTAAACACTTCTTGTAAACACATTTTATTTTGAGAAAAAAAAATTGATTTTGAGAAACAGTTCTAAATTATATGTATGGAACTCTTAAAAATCTATCGTATTAAAAACAACAATCCAGACAAAGTGAAAGTGACCTATGATCATTAAAATAACGTTAGCTTCGGAAGTGTTGCTCACATTTATGCAATTTGTACAAATTTAATTTCAATTTTCAACGGAAATGATATATCATAGGACATTGTACATGTTGTTTTATTCTCACAATTCCAGACATGGACTATACGCAAGTTTTTCTTTGAATAAATTAATTGGATTTCTTCAGCCTCTGAGAACTTTAATAATATTTTGAATCAATTCGCAGTAAAAAAAATCTTAACGGTGTGGAATGCACAATTTCATTCTTGATCATCATTTATTTCTCCAATATTAATTTAATATTTTCTGATCATTATTTAGAGACAAAATGATAAATCTCTTTAAATTAAAAAAAAAACAACATGTATACATGTATTGGAAAATCTTCGGACCATCATACATTTCATTTCTTTAACAAAGACACACCGAATTTAAATGTTTTCATAGAATATGCATGCCATTTATTATCCAAAATTATCACAGATCAAATATGTAGCACAATATAATTATATCGAATAAGTTATTCAAAAATTATCTGATAGAAAGAAATCAACAGGCTAATAAGGTTACCGTAAGAATGTCCCCTAAGACAATGCACCCGTATAAATGTACGTCATACGCATGTTAAGCTACTAAATCTACCTGAAAAATCTTCCTCACCTTGTCAAATCTCTCACATTCCAACGCTAGGTTTCAAATGTATATTTTTACATGAATTGTGTTAAAAAAGACACAGTGCAAAGAAACAATTTGGCGTCAAGGTTCATGCAATGGATTCAGTCATTCGAAAGATAATTGTTTTGCTCTAACACTCGAACATAAAACTTTTTGTTAACAGGAATAATTCGGAAACGGTTATATATAACAACCTCCCCTTCGCTATGTTAAACCATACAGAAATAAAGAAAAACATAAAAATTGCCATAGCTATCCTAAAGGTGTTCAAATACATCCTCAAATAATATTGATCATTTTAGCCTATTATCATTGCCCTTCATTTCAAAGAAAATGTGTAAAAATCTCAAACTTTACTACCAATGGTGCATACAAATGTGTTCATGCCTCTTTTCAAAAATGTGTTTTCTTAAGCGGTGTAATGGTACGCAACATTACGGTTCTCTAATATTTTATTTTCCCTGAACAATAATTGGCATGTCATTTTTCGACATGTCATTTATTTTCCAAAACAGTAAAAAAAAGAAAACATGGCAATGTCCAATTGTCTTAAATTCTTTTTATATGTTTTGTTTTATTGATATGAACATTGTTTATAACAAACTGTTAATGAGCGATTTAGTTTATAATCGTGTACAATGTAAATGTTTTTTTTTTTTTAAATGACATTGACTTTGAGTTGGTCAATATAGCATGCTACATCCTGCTTCATTCTTGATATAATCGTCGTTAGACATTAGACCTTTTAAAACTATGAACGACAGTCAGGCAAGGCTATCAATACACAAACAAAGAATCAATATAGAATTTCACAACTGCAAAAAAAATCCAACAGCCTGTCGTGTGTCCAAGTTTAAACAAAAACTATGACGCTGTTTCTCCTTTGAGCTGAGCTTTAAAGTCTTTCCTGTTCATCTATGTTTCTTAAGTTAAAACTACAAAAACTATGAATGGTTTGCCTATGAAGTCCTGGATGTATTGCCAAAGTAACATGATAATTTGAATAGGACCTTTTTATTAATATGTATTATGCTGTACTTCAAATCATATAGAGTTGCGTGTATGTTTACATA